TCTGTCTGTCTGTCTGTCTGTCTGTCTGCCTGTCTGTCTGTCTGTCTGTCTGTCTGTCTGCCTGTCTATGTGTGTGTTTGTGTCTGTCTGTCTGTCGGTCTGTCCGTCTGTCTGTTTGTCTCTCATTCCCTCTGCTTTCTCCCTTCCCTCTTTTTTCTCTCCCAACCTTTGTCTGTCTGCCCGTCTGTCAGTCTGTCTGTCTCTCTGTTTGTCTGCATGTCCCTCCCTTCCTATATGTCGTGTGCCTAAAGCGTGTCCAAAGCATCATGTCACTCAAACTAAATAATATGTTCAGTCTTCAATAAAATTTACGAAACAAGTAAGTTTTGACGCACAGAATGGGTGCAAAGAACTCCGAAATTTGTTTCCGCAAGTTGAAGTTAAAAAACGTAGATTTTCTTTTTGAAACAACTAATCACAAAAGCACCAGTTGATTAGAATGGACAGGGTCCACCACCCCCCTAAAAAAACAACAACACAAAAAACAACAACAACAATTGTAATAACAACAAAAACCCAACAACTAAAAACGCCACCACCACCACCACCACCAAAAACTACCTTAACCGGCCTGTCAAAAGTTTACATATCATTACAGCCACAATCAAGCAATTACCCTTGCTTCATACTCCTAATTCATACCCACCAGTAATCCTGAATGGGTTTACAAATTGCGGTTGGCGCAAGAGCCGTACTGAGCTTGTATTGGTATGTCCTTGGTGTATTGGTATGTCCTTGGGTTGGCGACTTTATGCCAGCCCGCACTCATCCAATGAACTAGGGCTGGGCAATGAGTCGCTTTTGCAAAATCCGGATAATGTGTTAGTGCACCTCTTCGGTAAATAATGTTATTACCGATTCGGCAAATGGGTTTGAACCACGTAGACAAACGGGTTAGCATCACTTCAACAAATGGGTGCACTAACTTCGGTAGACGGGCCAGGAAAAAGAGTTAAGAGTCTGAATTTGGAAAATGTCTTATGGAGGATTATCTGATTTTCCGGATATTTATCCGGATTTTGCCCACCTCTACAATGGACCTGCATGTTTACGCAAGACTGCGCCAGGGGTCATGAGCGTTTGTGACTGCGTTGCCATCATTTTAAAAAAATACAGTACATGCAGTTTTTACAATTTTACAGGAGAGCCAAAAACAACAAAAACAACAACGACAACAAAAACAGAACCCCCCACCCAAACCCCCCCCAAACCCAACAACAAAACAAAG